ATGGAGAAGCCCATGCGGAAAGGCAGGAAGCTTCCAGCTGATGGCTCGTCATGGGAGAGAACACCTTAGGAGTGGATCTTCTGGCTCCTGGTGAGCCTTCGGATGTCTAGGCCCAAGCTAACACCTGACCACAGTCATGAGAGACTGCAAGCCAGAGCTGCTCAGTCACTTCAGGATTCTCAACTCAGAAACCAAGAGAAAAAGTAAATACTTGGTTTTACTTTGGGGGGAGAGTTGTCAGGCAGCAACAGGTAACTGATAGAAAAGGTTATAGTAAAAAAACCAGCAAAACCCAAATGCACAGCCATCTAGTTAATTTTGACTCAGCAACCCTATAGGACAAGATAGAACTTCCCCTGTGCGTTTCCAAGGTTGTAACTCTGGGAGCAGAGAGCCTCAGCTTTCTCCCACAGAGCGGCTGGTGGTTTTGAACTGCTAACCTATTAGCAGCCTAAGACCTAAACCACTGCCACCATGGTTTATTGGTCGTCAAAAGGAAAGCTCAAAGACAAGGTACTAGGGCACTAAAAATCCCGAACCAGACGGTCCTCCTGGGGTTGATGAAATGTGGCAAGGTGGACTTAGTGGGTAGGGGTAGAAGGTTGAGAAACATACGGGAACAGGATTGAGTAAGGAAACACACTTTCCTGTGTGTTTTTCACTAGTTCATCCAGGATTCGCCCTAAGAAGTTACTATATACTGTCCCTTAAAACACGTAATCAAGAGAATTCTTTAGGACCCTCCTTCAGAAAGCAGATTTTGAGGGTGGCGAATGGATGTTTCCACTGACCAGCCTAGCAGGAGAAAGGTGACGCTACCTTTCTTTCACAGTGAGCGAGTCACGGCTCCACCATGAAGGTGAGATGCAGGAAGGCCATAGCTCTTCTTTCATTTAACAAACGCTACCTTTCCTTCACAGTGGGCGAGTCACGGCTCCACCATGAAGGTGAGATGCAGGGAAGGCCATAGCTCTTCTTTCATTTAACAAACTTAAAGAAAACAAAAAAAAAATTTATTTTATTAATTTGGGAGTTAAGACATACATCATTCCACCATTCAATCACGTCGAGTAGAATTGTACAATTGCTACCACAATCAGTTTACAAACACTCCTTTTCTTCCTGGACTCCCTGACATTGTCTCCCTTTTACCCACTTCTGTGCCCCTCTCCCCCAAAACCCTTATTCCGCTCCTTGTCCCTATATACAGGTCCATCAATCTTGGGTTTCAAATAACGAAAAACATGTAACAACTTCAAGAGGGTGACCTCCACTGACACGACACCTGAGATACACCCTCATAGGAACAAACAAACACAGAGCATGTAGGAAACTAGATCAGGTCCAGCATGCATCAGAGGGGACAGCCATTTTCTGAGCTGTGTCCTCGCAGCCCTTGAGGTAGCTGCTAACTGAAAGAAGCAAGGATAAGGGACACAGGCCCTGTCCTTGCGGAGTTTGTGATGAGGAAGGGGTCGCGGCAAGAGAGGGACAGTGCTGTGCGACTCGGCACACGGCGGTTAGGGAAGGTTTCCAGGTGGTGACTTAAAACACGTTTTTTTAATAAATAGTTTCATTGGCACATAATCCAAATAAGTCAATAGTTCAATCACATCAAGAAGTGTTGTATAATGTTACCACAATCAATTTTGGAGGTTTTCCTTCTGTTCCTTGTCGTAGGCTTCCCATCTCCCCTGCCGTACCCCCAAGGAAGCATGAATCCAGTTACTGTCTACAGAGTCACCCCTCCTAGATTTCACATACCGAGAAACATACCAAAAATGTACAACAACGAGTAAAAAAAGCTAACCACAATAACAAAACAAGATAGAGAAAAACCACAGTTGGGGAGAAAACAAAATATTAAAAACTAGAACAACTTCAAAATAGGTCAGAGAGATCCAATGACAAGGTATTAGATTTTAACCTAGCCCTGTCTGTCCACTTCCCAGTGCACTTCTTATGAGGAAGGCGATTCACCAGAGGCTTCATCCATGTGTAGCCTCAACCCCACCCCTCCTGTCTTTTCAACTGCTAGAACTTTTAGATGTGAGGCTGGCAAGGGCCGACCCCCATCTCCTGGTAGAGTTTAAATTTTATCTTCAAAACGCTGAGAGGAACTATAGAGTTTTAATCGGGCATGGCTTAATCAGATCTGCATTTGGGAAAGATTTATCTTGCTGCAGTGGGTGGGTGGGGTTGAAGGGGTGGAGTTGAAGGGGCCTGAATGGACAATGAGACCAGATGGGAGGCCATGGTCAAGACCAGAGGAAGTCTTCCTAAGGTAATGGCAAAGGGTAAGGTGACAAGGGTAATAGATAGTAAATTTTACTACCACCTGCCTTCCAGAAAAGATCAGGGGTCCTTCAGTTAGTATTTCTTGAACAAAGGAAAAGTAATTCTTTCTACTCAGGAAAGGGCTCTAGATCTGGGAGTTGGGTTTTTTGTAACTAAATATGGGCATGAAAATCTAGGGAAGAAATGAGAAACAAGCAAAAACAGTATCCATCTTTCCATCCAACCTCTGTTGTTGTCAGAGCCATCAGTCAATTCTGATTCACAGCTTGCTTATGTATAACTGAATGAAACACTGCCCAGACCTGCACCATCCCCACAACCACTGGTACATTGGAGCCCATTGTTGCAGCCCGGGTGGTGCTGTTGGGTAAGTGTTGGGCTGCTAACCATTAGGTGGGTGGTTCAAACCCACCAGCCTCTCTGCAGGGCAAAAATGAAGCTGTATGCTCCTGTAAAGATTTACAGCTTTTAAAACCCTATATAGGGTTAATGAGTTGGAATCAACTCAATGGCAGTGGGTTCTTGTTGCCGCCATTGTGTCAATTGATCTTAAAAACCTTTTTCGGGAAAAATGAGGACCTAATGTCAGGGGTTTAAGTGGAGAGGAAATGTTTTAAAAAAAAAGAGGCAGTGAATGTACAAATGTGCTTTACACAATTGATGTGTGTATGGATTGCGATAACAGTTGTATGAGCCCCTAATAAAATGTTTAAAAAAAAAAAAAAAAATAGGTAAAAAACAAAACCAAAAAAAACCTTTTTCTTCTTTGATGACCCATGATGCCCTTCTTCAGGGCCTAGTGCCGCGCCCCGCGCACGCGCCCCCCCCTCCCCCCACCCGTGCATGTTCAAAGTACATAAAGTGAAATAGGGTTCTGGCTGTATTTCTTTTCAAAACAACTGCTTGTTCTTCTGGCAGCCCAGGTTCAATATTCTCCAACACCGTAATTCTAACTCTCCAGTCTTCCTTATTGATTGTCCAGCTTTTGCATGCAAACTGGCATCCAAACTCACACGCATCCTCTGTAGTCTGAAATTAATCAAACGTGCAATCAAGATGCTTTGGTGATCATTGGTAATTGGAATGGAAAAGCTGGAAACAAAGAGGAAGGGTCATTATTTTAAAAACAGAACCTTGGTGACAAACAATGCAGGAGATTACTTGAGAGAATTTTTCAAGACCAACAACTTCTTCTTGCAAATGCCGTTTCAACAATATAAATGCAACTCTCCCAGGGGACCTTGCTGGATGGGATGGCACAGGAAGCAAAGACTATCTGAGAAAAGAGACCACAGATAAGCTCAATATCACTAGTCAGAACACCTGGCCAATAAACACAGGCGGGGTTAATAAGGTTGCAGTTTAATTGAAGGGCAAAGAGATAAATGGCTCAGCGAGCCTCAGCTTTCTGTCTCTTGCTCTCTGATGATCTGACCGGTGTGCGGCTACTTTAGCTAATTCTCTGCCTCAACTTGGGAGCTACACTCCCTGTGAGGCTCCCAACCTGTGGACTATGTCACTATAGTTTGAGTTTCCTTGGAGACCTACTTCGCCACACTGCTGGAATATACATCATTTGAGCTGGGGACTGTCAGATCCCATCATCTGGCTGACTGTTGGTGACCCGCCCTGCTGCTTGCTGCCTGTGGCCAGATTGCCTGTATTGCTCTACAGAGGACTCGGCTGTCTGCTTCCTTGACTTGTACCCAGCAGCCCTCGTGAGTTGAAGGACTGCCAGTGTATTAACTGTCTCATGAGTGAGCCATTTGTACTGCTCTGCGGACTAGTTAGCTGTTTATTTCCTGTGTTGTATCTATCTATAAAATAAGTGTCCTGGTTTTGTTTCTCTAGAGAACTTGTCTAACACAGTTATTAAAAAGACAGAAAAAGGGAGGGGGTAGGGAACCAAAATGGCTGTCATCAACATTCTGAAACTTGCATAGGAATATAGAGTAGCTAAAGTAGATGGAAGAAACATTGAAGCAAAAGTGATGTTAGTCTAGGTACTTTAGAGAAACAAATCCACAAAAACTCATGTAAAAGAGAGAGTTTTATATAAAGGTTACATGCGCATCAGGAAAACATCTCAACCCAGAGCTGCCCAAGCCCACAAGTCCAACATTAACCTATTAACCCATATGTCCAACACCAATCCACAAAGTCCTCCTCCATCTCACAAAACAGATGCAATGATGCAGACTGCAGGAGGAAAGCTGAGTCAGTGAATGTGTAAGCATCTCAGCACTGGCCGGGGTCTCCACACGGGTGCTCCATCACCCAGGGCTGCATGGGGTAGGTCCATGTGGCTTCTCAGGGATGTCTTGTAGGAACTGGCTAAGGCAGCTGCACCGTGGTCCGACCACCAGAAAGCAAGAGACCCTAGAACTGGAAAGGCGAGGTTCACAGTCATTTATCCCTCCACCCTTCAATTAACCCCACATAGGTTTATTGGCCAGGCTGGCACAATAAACCAACTCAAGCGCTCAATAAGATTTTTTTTGGGGGGGGGGGGTTTAGGAACTTTCTTAGGGGCTCGTGTTTATTAGCATTTGGCCCCCAGAGTTCTACCCATGGGCAAAGCAACAGCTGGGCTACTCCCTCCTCAAGGCAGTCTGTTAATCATCAACCCAAACCCCTGTCCCTCTACAGCAGTCCGAGATGGTAATCCAGGTAGTCCAGGGATCCACTGCACCGCTCTTTCAACGGCCCCTTGGCTGAGTCCCAGGAGGAACGGAAGCTCTGTAAGTGTGCTCCACAAGGAAAAGCGCAGAGGCAGGAGGTGGGTGATCCTGCATGTTGCTAAGTCTTTATAGCGGTGTCTCTGGATTTGTAGGCCACTCCTCGACTCTTTAGCTCCTACACAATTCCTTGGGGCAGGCGACCAGTGACTGACACAGCATACACACCTGGCTTAAAGTTACTGACTCGCTGCCACTTGGAGACCCAGCTGCCCTCTGGACTCATCATCGCGATGATACCATCAAAGGAAGAGCTGGTGCAGTCATACACCATTTCCCGGTTGCCCTTCATCTGTAGATAGGTATCACAATTGTCGCAGTCGTCATATTCAAACTGATCTATAGTCTTGACGAGCGAACACAGCAAACAGGCCCGCAGATGCCGCAGGTCCTTCGGGACCGTCTCCAGGGCCATGGCCACCGGTAGGCAAGAACGCAGCACCGTGCCAGCCAAAGCCGCCTCGCCCGCACTCAATAAGATTTTAAAGGATGTCTCCAGAAACAAGGCAAAGTATTATAGCGAAATGTGCAAAGACCTGAATTTAGAAAACCCAACAGGGAAGAATGTACTCGACATTGCTCAAACTGAAAGAACACAGGGAAAAAACCCAAGCCCTAATATGCAATAAGGAAGGATTCTGTGGGCAAAATAAGGAGTCTGGTGGCATGGTGGGATATGTGTTGGAATGCTAAGCACAAAGTCCAGGTTCGAAACCACCAGACACTGCAGGAGAAAGAAGAGGGTACCTGATTCTATAACGATTTACAGTTTGTAAACCCATGAAGTAGTTTGACTCGGTCCTACTGGGTCACTGAGTTGGAATCAAAGAATGCAGAGCCACTGATAAAAAGAATTGGTTGACAAGACCATTTCGGGAGGTGGCACACGATCAAGAACTGATGGGAAGGAAGAAAGGGGCAGGAGTTGCACTGCGAAGGCATTGGCAAACACTCCAGAAACTGATGGAATAGCAATTGATGTGTCTCATCAGACAGATGCAACGTTGGAAGCCCTTACTCATCCTTGCCAAGAATTTTGGAGGACAGCTACCTAGCCGACTGACTGCAAGAGCTCCATTTACATGCCTGTTCTAAAGAAGGTGACCTGGCCAAATGTAGGAATGATCAGAGTGTCACTGGGAGCACATGCAGTTCAGCATCAGCTCAGCTTTTATTCTGAAAAAGGCCCTGTACTAGGAAGCAGAGATGTGAAAGTAAGGGACTTCAAGGAGTCTGCCATCGAACTTATTTTTACTCGGCTGCACCGACACCTAGAACGCTGGTTGCAATTCTGCTCTCAGTCTCAAGGCGCAGATGGTACAGTGGAGCTCTTTGTTCTGGGAAGGCTTACCAACAGGCAGCAAGAACCCTAGCATGTTCCTTCCCCTTTGATCTGCTTCTGAACTGGATCTGGAGTTACTATCTGAGACAGGGTATATAGATTTATATACAAGGATATTCATTGCAGTAGTTCTAATGAAACGGGATTTAACCTAAACTCCCTAAACCTAACTAAACTAATAGAGACATAGTAAGATAATTGATGGTCCAGACCTATGATGGGATTATTAGGTAATAATTAGAAATGGTATTTAAAAATAACTTTTAATGACATAGTTTGAAAGACCAGGGGGAAAAAAAGCAGGATACAGTTATCTTACAGAATTGTAAAAATATTCATGAGTCTCAAAAATATCCATGATTTATTTTTTCTATTCCCCACTTTTCAATTTTTTGACAATATGCATGCATGATTTATACAATTAGAATTTTATTTCCCCCTTCAGAAATTGTTGAGAATATACACACAGCAAAACATAACACCAATTCAAAAGTTTTTACGTGCACCATTAAGTGACATTACGTTCTTCAAGTTGTACGATCTTTCTCCCCCTTTGCTTTCCTGCCTTGTTCCCCCTTTAGAGACATGGCAGAGGGGAAACTACAAAGATAGCCCAAGTGACCAAGAGATTGGGCATTCTGTTGCATGAAGATTGAGGAAAGTCCCACAATTTATGTGACAAGAATTGAGCGAGATAGCAATCATTAGCTGCAGTTTATGGAGTGTCTGCAAGGTCCCAGGTTAACTTGCCCCTTTCTACGGAGGGAGCAAACCATACACCGTAATTGAAATTCTAACATTTGGCTTTCACCCTACTCAATACAAGCAGAACCCTGGTGGCAGTGGATTATGATTGGGCTGCTAACCCCAAGGTCAGCAGTTTGACACAGTAAGCTGCTGGTGGGCGAAAGAGGCTTTCTACTCCCGTTAAGAATTACTGTCTTGGATCGCTCTGAGTCTGGGTTGACTGATAGTAGTGTGAGAGGGAAACCGTCCATTAAAAAGCGATAGAGTGGGGAGCAGGGAGGGGAAAAATGAGGACCTAATGTCGGGGGTTTAAGTGGAAGAAAATGTTTTGAGAATGATGTACAAATGCGCT